TCCCCCCTGCTCTGACTCCCCAGCCCCCACTCCCCTCCCAGAGCCGGGGAGAGAACCCAGGAGTCCTGGATCCCATCCCCCCTGCTCTGACTCCCCAGCCCCCACTCCCCTCCCAGAGCCGGGGAGAGAACCCAGGAGTCCTGGATCCCATCCCCCCTGCTCTGACTCACCAGCCCCCACTCCCCTCCCAGAGCCGGGGAGAGAACCCAGGAGTCCTGGCTCCCAGCCCCCCATCCCCACTCACCTTGGAGCCGGTGGTGTAGCGCTCGGTGCCCTCCACCCGGGCAGTGACTGGCACCCCCTTGGCAAACACTGGCCCCTGCGACTTGAGCGGCTTCAGGTCATAGACCACCAGGAAGGGGTAGAGCGGACCCCCTGCGGGATGGACGGACGGGTCAGGGTGGGGGTAACCCATGGACCCCCCCCGTCTCCCTCCCCGACATGCACGGAGGCAGCAAAGCCCCCTGCTAAGTGCCAGACATGGACACACTGAACCCCAGTTCGGGTGGGCCAGGCACCAGGATGCCTGGGTTCCTGGGGAGGGTCCTGACACTCAGCCCTTGGCCGCAAGGGTCGGCTGCCCACCCCCCACGCCGTGCCAGGGAGCCGGAGACTAAAGTCCTAGCCCCCCCCACCTTCCCCCGGGGCCTCCCCACTCACCTGGCTCCTCGCCCTCCCGCAGCCCCTCCACTTCGTCCCCATCCACCTGCAGGTCCGAGGCGTCCAGCGAGCTGCCCCCCGCGAAGGGGCCAGCCAGGGTCTGCATGGTGCCGGTCTCTGCCTGGAGAGGAGCGGAGATGGGGATGGGGAGAGAATCCAGGAGTCCTGGCTCCCAGTCTCCCCTGCTCCAACCCACCAGCACCCTGGCGACGGGGAATCTCTGGGGTGGGCAATTTCCTCATGCAGCCGAGCGGGGGGACCCAAGAGTCCGAGAGGAAGAATGGGGAGTGCAGCCAGGTCTCCAGCAGGGCATCGCTGGGGGGATAGGACCCAGGCATCCGGGATGGCAGTGCCAAGGGCGGGAGGGGGGCAGGCGGAGAGATGCTTTGGCTGGGTTTCCTGGAACAAATTCCTGGAGGGGGTGTCAGGCCAGGCTCCCCCGCCCCCCAGGGCAAGCAAGGGCTGACACAGGTTGATCTGTCGGTGACGTGGGGGGCATTGTGGGGTTAATTGGGGGGAGCGGCTCCCCCCGGCTGTTTATGTAACAGCGGCCCCTGGCCTGCAGCCCAGACAGTCACTATGGGGACGGGGGGGGGTTACGAGAGCAGAGCTCGGGGGGCACTGGTGGGGGGGCTGCGCTAGTAGGGGGCTGGGGACGGCCTCTGGCTGCAGCCCCTCCTCCCCCCAGCTAGGCCATCTGCGCTCCCAGATCCCTTTCCTCTGAGCCCCACAGGCCCCCCGCCCCCAGTCCTCCCCCACTCATCATCCTGCCCCCCAGCCCCCTGCCAGCCCCCCAGTCCACCCCGTCCCACAATCCCCCCGACCCACCTGTGCCCCCCCAGTCCCGCCAGCCTCAACCCACAGCCCTTGACAATCCCGCCCAGTGCCCCTCAATCCTGCCCCACAGCTCTGCCGGTGCCCCTCACTCCCGACCCGCAGCCCCTGCCCCCCCCCCAACTCTGCCGGTGCCCCTCACTCCCGACCCGCAGCCCCTGCCAGCCCAGCCCTACCCCCCGCCCAGCTCTGCCGGTGCCCCTCACTCCCGACCCGCAGCCCCTGCCAGCCTGGCCCTGCCCCCCCCCCAGCTCTGC